CTTATGGTGAAGCAAAGTATGATTCTTGGGGTGTTTTTCTTCAGTTGCTTGCTGTTTTGTTTGAGGCTACTAGACTTGTTATGATCCAGATCTTGTTGACTTCAAAGGGTATTAGTTTGAATCCAATTACTTCTCTCTACTATGTTGCTCCTAGCTGCTTGGTTTTCTTGTCAATTCCTTGGATTTTTGTGGAGCTTCCAATTTTGAGACAGAGCTCGAGTTTTCAATTTGATTTTGCTATTTTTGGGACTAATTCGTTGTGTGCCTTCGCCTTGAACTTGGCTGTGTTCTTGTTGGTGGGAAAGACTTCAGCTTTGACTATGAATGTTGCTGGGGTTGTCAAAGATTGGCTTCTTATTGCATTTTCTTGGTCAGTGATTAAGGACACAGTGACTCCAGTGAATCTGATTGGGTATGGATTAGCTTTCTTGGGAGTTGCATACTATAATCATAAGAAGTTACAGGCATTGAAGGCAAAGGAAGCACAGAAGAAATCTCAGCAAGCTGATGAGGAAGCAGGGAGATTGTTGACTGAGAGAGACTCTAATGGATCATCTGATGGAAAGAAGGGTGATTCACAGGCCTAGTTGAATCTGTGACAAAAAAGGGTATCAAAATAAATCTTATGAACAAAAGGGTTGTGAGAAGCATTAGATTTGGGGGTTCTCTTCAAGTTGACTTGTGCTTTTCAAATGGATCTTGGTATGTCTGTTACTGTTCTTGGGAATAGATCAGTTCCATTTCATACCTAAGGTTATTTAGGATATCCACATTTCTTTGTTTACACTGCAGATTCAAGTTATGTATCTTATTACTAGTAGATTTAAGATCTGAGATACCCTTCCTTATAGCTGTTTTGAGTTTCTGCTACTATTTTTACTTGTCGAATCCTTGATATTACTACTATAATTTATTTACAATTTTCCCTTTTAATCAAGGTTGATGTATGGTGCTTTTAAATCTCATTCTTAACTGAGTCACCTGAAATCATAACTGATCTGTGAATATTTGCTTGTGAAGCAAACGGTTTCGTCTATGTTGAAGTGGAGAATTTTAACTAGAATAATTAATAAGCATTATAAACTGTCACCATTTTCTCTATGTTGGATTTGCATTAATGGCTGTTTCAGGTGACATTACTTGCTCTTAGCTGTGTGGATTTAATGCTTTTCAAAGGTATTTGGGACACGTAATTGGTGGCTTAATGGTTGAGAGATTGGAGTGTTGGCGTTCCTTTATGGTCTCATGTCTTAGACTTGAGATCTGATCTACTTCTTTTACATGGTATTAGTGTCAGATTCATCTATATTATTGTGTTTCCTCAATGTTGGTTCTTTATGTTTTATTATATTGTGGGTAATTTGGACTTGGAGCGTGCGGGCACACTTGTTGATTATTGGGGATCTTTTCCTCGTAAAGTCTTGTTGTCACCGTATTGAGGTTTAGTTAGATCCAAGGTTCTATCCATTCGCCCCAACCAGTACAAGATTTGAAGAGGATGTTCAAGGTGTATGATAGAGATGAGTGTAGAGTTTGTTGGGAGAAATACAACTTATTCAAGGAGAAGTAACTACTTTTATTGCATCTTTTTAGGTTGAGACTACTTGGTCAACATCCATTTTTATCTCTTCCTTGGGAGGGTTACTTTGTAAAGCTGATTGTTGTGTGAGGATCTATAGACACATTACTTGATATCTGGTAGAACAAGACAAAATGATGTAATGTATATTGGAGACAAGCATAAACTTGGGAGGAGATTGGGTGAAGTTTTGGCATTGTTAGACTTTTATTGATCTTAGTTTTTTGTTTGTTGAACCAGTTGAGCTCGTTCAGTGTCAGACTTGGCATATGCTAATGGCTTCAGTCTTCCTATATTTTGAATTGTACTCCACCAAATTCCCATATATATGCCAAAAAACTGGTCTCTCTTGTATGCTGTGTGCATTAATTATGAATAAATTTTTAAATATCGTACACCATACCATGCCCACCCTTACGTATAAGAATCCATATTTTAAAAGAAAAAAACGATGAGAACAGAACCTTATTGGCCCCTTGCTATTCCACCTAACCATTTTTTGAAATTTATATTAGCCATCTCTGACAGCCATTGGTATTGTCCCACCTGTCACTTCTTTTTTATTAAGATCTGAAAGAGTACTTTCCTATTTATACACGAGCTTTAAGTACTTGTATTTGTTCCTAGACGTATCTTTTGGTACTTATAAATATCAGTCATTTGACAACTTGTAATGTATATGAAGCAGAAATAAATTTGCACATTAAAAAAAAGGTACTCACCTTCTTGTCCTGATTAATTTCCTTAATATCATTCAAATGTGTCCTAATATTCCTCAATTAAGAGACATTTTATGTTAAGGATTTAGAATTGCTTATTTGACTTAAATGGGCCTTTATTCACTCACCCATTAAAGACAATTACCAATTATTGAGTCTTTATTTTGTAAAAGTTGGTAGATTGTTTGACCATTTCCAATTACTCCTTAATGGACTTGACACACTAATTAAGAAAACAATTATTGATACATGAATTTTACCACAGTATTCCTATTAATTATTAGGTCTTGAAAAATGATATGGAGAATATTCTCTATTGATTTTGCATACTTCTTAAAAAACTATAAATAGAAATGTAATTTTACCATTTGAATATAATTTTGAGTAAGATATCCAACATCCGGCGGGGCCATTGAATGGAAATTGAACAGAATATCCATAGTTAAACTTTTTCATCTTATTTTATATTCGTCGAAAAGTCTTCCACTAATATTGCAGAAAATTTCATTGCAGTGTGCGTTACGCATGGTGCAATCTTCAACATTAATAAATTGACCAAGTCAGTCTCTCTGGTGAAATTTTGATGTTGGTTAGGAGTACAAATGAAAAAGAAAAGAAGGGCACTTGTCTGTTTTGTGTTGCTTGTGATCAGAGGATCGATTCATTAGGTCTCTTCTTCTTTTGTAATTTAGTTTAGCTCACTAACAAGAACATGTTTCTCACATTTCAACAGTAGATACTCAAGTTTGAGCCTAAAACATATACTATCAAAAATATAAAGTTTAAACATCGATCATGAACCTAATTTCTCCAAAATCCAGTTTGTAGGAATTAAGAGTTGATAAATTTTTCTCAAGAATATTGCTTACTTCTATATCTATTATTTCTTGCTAAAATTATAGAAGCTTTCTGTAAATTCTACCAAACAAACAAGTGTTTATAATTGGTAATTGAGTGTTTGCAGCATGAACTACTTAAACTAATTAAGCAGTAAATAAAGAAACAAAGTGTATTTGCAAGATTGTTCATCAAGGCTTCACCTTTGATCAATGCGTATTTGTATGTAAATATATGTTCGTTAAGTTCATCAATCCGATACTTCATAGACTTATCAGCTGCCTTCTAGTCATCGGGACAAAAATTTAGTCGGAAGCTCAAAGATCTGCAGTTAGCTGTATGATGGAAAGATTTTCTTGGATGGAAAAGTTTGTTGAGTAACGAGGTACTTATAGGTAAGATGAGAATAATCACTTATTCTTGAAATTGTTCACATTGCAGATGGCAAAACATATTCTTATTATGTCCATAATGTTATTTTCATTGACACACACATTATGTCCTGTTAACTTATTATATCTGGACTCTTAAGCTCAGCGGGATCTAATTCTCATATTTATAGGAATTGTTGAGAAAAATGAACTTTGGGTTTAATTCTATTCCAAATAGCTCATGAGGTGCAGAGTATAGTGTAGGCTGGAAATCGTTCTCATTGCACATAACAAGGAGTGGCACCCGATGGAACACAAGACGTGAGAAGCAACACTAAGTTGATTAGGGCATGTGAAGAGGAGATACACGAATGTTCCAATTCGGACGTGTATGGATAGTTACAGGAAGGTAGAGGTAGGCTATGGATAGTTACAGGAAAGGTAGAGGTAGAATATGGATAGTTACAAGAAAGATAGAGGTAGGCCGAAGAAGTATCGGGAGAGGTGATTAGACAGGACATGACGCTACTTTAGCTTACCAATGACATGACTTAGATATGAGATTATGGAGGACATTGATAAGGATAGAGAGTTAGTTATGTAGTTGAGAATTGTCTCGCTTATTCTTCTATACTAGTAGTTGTAGTATTACTTTGAAAGTTTCTTGATATTCCATTTATATTACTATCTAATATTCTTTGCACTTTGATTATCAGATTATTTGTTGTAGTTAATATTTCTTTTTTAGTATGCTCTATCATGCTTTCTTTAGCATTTTTGTCTTGGTTTCTTTACTCCCGTTGTTTTCTTTTTTCGAATTGCTTTGTAATGCATTTACTTGAGCTGAGGATCCATCGGAAACAACATTTATACCTTCCAAAGTAGGGATTAGGTCTGCATACACACTACCCTCTCCAAATCTCACTTGTGGGATTACACTACACTGAATATGTTGTTCTCATTGCATATAATGTTTGACAGTCCTATGTTTCTCTGTTATGTTACTCTAAGAATAGCTTGTCACAGAAGCTTATTAAGTAAGTTGTGGGAGTCAACAATGGAAGGCCTTGATGGGGAAACTGGTGAAGTGTGTTCATCAGTGAAAGTGGTGACACCCATGATTAGCTTCTACACTTGTAGGGACAGCAACATAGTAAAGATTTTCAGTTAGCTAGGATGCAGAGGTTTTCTATTGACACACATATCTGGACCCCAAGCACACGCGAGTCTGGTTTTCCCTACTGATCGATATAACTCTATTCCTCGACTTTATGCATTAACGTTATATTATGTTATTGATTCAAGAATTAGCTTCAGTTTAATTTGAAGGATCAATCTGGTTTTGCCAACATCCTTAAACTTCCATGAAAAGAAAGACATGAGAACAGACAATGGTATTGTTGGATTGGATCCCTTGAAGACAGATGAAAATCAGCTCATTGTTGATCACCAAAAGTACTTTTTTGCATTAAAAAAAAATGGAAGAGCATAAAGTAGAAGAAAAATAGGTTTAGGTAGACAATTTATTGTGGACTATAGCCAGTCTATGAAGTTTCTCAAAGTAGAAACTCACAAAAGTAAAGGATTGTCCTAAATTCATTTGTCGTCAATCGACTCATTTCCTAAAACTATTTATGAAATCACTCATTTGGTTCTGAAGCAAACGAGTAGCCTCTGATTCAGGATGAAATACATGATAAACATGAACCTGTTCCTCAGCTTCAACCACCTTCACATGACTTTTCACACCTTTCTTCTTCTTTAAGAATTCAGCGTACGTGACTCCCCTTTCTTTCAACAAGTCCAAACCAGCAACAAAAACAATCACTGCTGGAAACTGAGACCATTCAGCCACAGATAGTTGAGCATTCTCAAAATTACATCCAAAATAATCACGATTTGATCCTTGAGGCAAGCTCAGTCTCCAAAACATGTCGTTCATTTCCACGCCCCCTGCTGATCCATTATCCATCTCTAATTCAGTCCTCTTTTCACTCCCAAAATAGGGATGAATTGGCAGCAACCCCTTTAGTCTACCACGGAAAACTTCACTTGTAATCGCCTGGATAGCAACCTGATGAACTATGTTACCTCCAGCACTGTCCCCGGAGAGAAAAAGCTGAGAAAGATCAGCCCTTTTCAGCCATGGTTCAAATTCTATGTTCTTGATCAGCCATTCCAATGCAGAATAGCAATCTTCATAAGCTATAGGAAGTCTATTTTCCGGTGCAAGACGATAGTCTACTGAAAGGATGATAGATTTTGAAGACACACTTAAATCTCCAAGAAAAACATGGTAACCGAGCCATGTAGTTGAGCCGATACAAAATCCACCACCATGGAAGTAGACAAGAACAGGAAAGTGCTGGTGAACACTTGATTCAGGAAGGTACATTCTACCTAATATAGGTTTCGAAGAATCAATGACGACATCCTTAGACATGTAGCCATTGGAAGGTTCAATTGATGCAGTAGCTATTTCTGGCTCGAATCGCTTCACTGAGCCATCAGAAAAAACTTGGATGTAACCTGGTGCCTCTGCAACTATGGACATTTTCTTGGAAATATACACTTCCTAGCTAGTATGGCATGGCATGAAATTTAAAGCTGCCATGCTTGATAGTGGAGCATGAGAAGAACATGGATATGGATGGTGGGTTGATCACACAAAGGGCAATGGATCATGCAAAAGAAAAACAGATGATTCCTAAAATTTGGGGTGAGCAAAAATCGAACCGAATAGTAAATCAAATCAAAAAAATGTTATTGATTTATTGTTATTGGGTAAACGAGTTTTTATTGGTTTTATAAATAAAAATTATCACGTTATGAGTTTTCGATTTTGATTTTTAATATTGAATTATTTGGTAAATCGATAATCCATTAAGGCTGTGCTCATTTACCCATATATAAATATTAAATATTAATATATGGTTACTATCTTTGCCCTTTAGTCTTCAATTCACATTATTGTTCTAGTTCTTTTATTTGTGTTGGATTTATATAGTTGTTTTCATGTTAACTTATGTTTATATTTTATGAGCATCATGTAAGGTTACATTATGTCTTGTCGCGCCACATTATTGGAGAAATCATATATTTATTTTATGAGCATTTTCTTATTGGTTAAATCAAAAATCGAATTGTTACGGACCAAAAGCTAATAAAAAAAATATCTTATTGAATCGATAGGAAAACTAAAAATCTAAAATAAACGCGCCAGGTAGGGGTCGAACCTACGACTTTCTGCTTAGGAAACAGACGCTCTATCCACTGAGCTACAGGCGCTTTTGTTTATACATTCTTAGTTGCTAATATTTAACAGGCTTTCCCTTATTGGTTTGTTGTGTGCATAAATGCCATAATTTATGATGAGAAATCCATCGTGTTTATAAGCTTTAGAGGATTGAATTCAGCAATGCAGGGAAAATGTTTTAGAATTTATATTTTAGGGGGGGGGGGGGGGGGGGGGGGGGGGGGGGG